CGAGCCGCCAGCTGCCCCCCCGCCGACCCGCCAGCGATGGTGTCGCCTGTCCCTGCGGCCGTGCCCAGGACGCCCTTGCTGCAGACACCCCTGGCAGTCAGCCGGCTTCACGCCAGCGCCATGCTGCCGCTGCAGGAGGGGCTCAGTGGGCCTTGTGGCACAGGGGTCTGTAGAGCTCAGTGGATCACACACAGACCATTAAAAAAGTCTGGCTTCCAGAAAAACCCATAAAACCCTGTGGATACAGACGGACTTCGGTAATAAGGAATTACCTGAACTGAAGAATGTGTTGTCTACATTCATTTTTGAACTTTGAAGGAAACTTATTTTTGCAGCCTCTCAAAAAAAAAAACCAACAAACACCCAAACCCCAGCCAACTTGTGTAACTAGCAATAAAATATTTAACCATGCTGGATTACAATGTATATTAAGTTTTTAAAATGCAAGACCATGGTAATGTGATGGTGATAGCAATGGAACTTTCTCGTTTAGGGTCTTACTGTTGGTGGCATTACTAGTACTGTGCTTTTAAACATTTTAAACCTTTCTATAGTATTTTAAAGTGTGTTGGATGATTAAACTGTTGAGCTACTGCTTATTAAACAATTCTTGCGTTTAAAAGGTTAATTTTTTTTCAGAGAAGAAACAAATTTCAAGACATCTCTGATCCATAAATTCATAAATGATAGCCAAGTCTCTACGGTTACAAGCCAGTGAGCTGTTTGCAGTTTGAGGAAAACCTTGTCAAGGACAAAACCAATTGGACCTTAAGGTCAACCTTCCTTGTGTTTGCATCATGAATTAATTACTGTCAGGACATGGTTTGTATACATTTAAATTGCAGGTGGGCTTCTCAGTTGGCTTCTTTCTGAATTTCCTTTGTTCCAGGTTTAGCTAACACTATGCATAAAGGATGATACTAGAATACCTAATTGCAGGATTCTTGGATGCATTCAGTGCAGAATGAAATCAGTGGCTCTGATGAAACAGAAAACTAGAAGAGACCTTCAAAACTGCCACACGTCGACTTAAAAACTGCAACCTTGGCAGTGCTATTTTGGTTTTAATCAAGCGTGTTTGTCCTTGCCCAGAACTTTAGAAAGGTATTAAGGACTCCAGATTAGGCCTCCAGATCTCTCACAAGCAGTGGCTGGTTCTCCCGGGGTGTACAGGCAGCAAGGGCCACGAGTGGGATGAATCATGCGTTGACTTGTCACTGACAGAAAGGTGCCTGTTGCCCTTCTGTCTCCCAGGATGTGCAGTCGTCCACAGGGACACTGGCAATGGTTGGTCTTGAGTTTAGAGCTTATTAAATCTTGTTGTAAAATGTCACTGTTTCATGATTTGCTCCTCTTTCAGAGGAATAACTGAACTCTTGCTGTGATGTTTGTGCTTGCAGTACTGCAGTGATAGAACATAGCACTTGAACCAACAGAAAAACAATTGGACACGTTATCCAGAATTTGTACCTTCTCTTAAAACAAACAACACCCCCCCAAGCCCTCCTGAATGGTAGTAAATTAAAATGGTAAAAAGTAAAGTAAAATGGTTTTAAGCTTGAGAAGCATTTGTGCTTGAATTGTACCATTTGAATCCAGTAATTCTGAAAATGGTGTGGTTCTGTTGTAAATACATAGTAAAAGGGGTGTGCAGTGTTGTGTTGAAAGTGTGTTTACAGTACTTGATGAGTTCAAGTTACTGTAGTTTTTGTTATGCAGGTCGTGCATTTTGTCTGAAAGCTGCTAAGAGAATTGCATTTTTTGGTAACATTAGCCTGTACTGAGAGAATAAATGTTAAAAGATGTGATGCTGTGAAGTTTACAGTTTCATTGTAGCAACTTTACATTATCACAGACTTGCAGAACTATTGGTATAAACATTGGATTTTTTCTTTTTAATAGTTTAGAATTGAGGGAAATCTATGTTTCATTATTCTTCCCTCTGCCTCCAAACCATTCACAATAGTCTCACTACACTGAACAGTCAAGGTCAATTGTTTTAAAAAACCCCCCAAAACCCCAAACAAACAAAAAAACCCACCAAAGCCCAAAACAATGAAGCAAGAAGCAAAAAGCAGTGCCCACCATCTGATAGAGGTCAAAAGACCTGAGTTGTTGGGAAAGTGCTTCCACTCATGGTGAAGCTGCAGAGCTGTTGTTCAGTTATGGCTGCTTTTAAGTAAGAAATATTTAGAGAATCATAGTTGGAAGTTCATTTAATGCTCCAGCTACATCAGAAAGCTCAAGGCTGCTCCAGTGGTTGTGCTGGCACACAGAACTGAGAGAGGCTGAAAACTGTGTACAGCATCGAACAAGCCAAGTGAAGCAGTTTTTAAAACCAGATCAATCCTTGGGCTCCCTCCATTTATACTCGTCACAATTCAGCATGGAAAGTTAATGAGTCGTTACTTTTAAATTATGTAGAAGCATTATGCAGTGGTGGTGGTAGGTTCTAGTGCAGCTAAGCCTGGTGAGTTCTGTGCAGTCAGGAACGGTGTTTTCTGTTTTCTAGGACCTGGTTTAAATAGCAAAACTAAAACCCAACAACAGTAAAATCAGAAAACCATTTGTAATGTCAATGTATCTTCCTTAAGGTGAACTTTCATTCCAAGATTGGCTTTAAGATGCTGCATTTTGATCTCCATGTGTAGTTCAAGGCCAGGTTGGATGAGGCTTTGGGCAACCTGGTATAGTGGAGGGTTTCCCTGCCCATGGCGGGGGGTTGGAACTAGATGATCTTTGAGGTCCCTTGCAACCCAAACCATTCTATGATTCCATGATTCCTGCTTGTCACAGCTATGGATGGAATCCCATTTGGAGTTCACCTGTTTGTCTTCCCCCATAAAACTTTGTTGAAAATAAACTTCCACAAGTGTTACTTGTAACGAATAGTAGTAATTCACTGTGATGTCATCAAGAAACCTGTAATGTTCAGTGTGTTTTGCAAGTGAATTTGGTTCTACTTTTCCCAAGCAATGTTTCCAGAACCCTATATGATCTTTCTGTTGAAAAAGGCCTCTTTAAATACATCACAGATCTGTAGATCAATTTGAAACTGTGTAAAAGTTTCTCAAGTGTCATTTAACGTTTCTTTTCAAAGCGTAGAAAAGTATATAAATGTAGTCTTACAGGTTAAAGACGATATACATCCTAGAATGTAAATCTTTGTAAAAATTAACTTCAGTTTTTTCCTGTATAGAAACAAATCTCAGTTGTGAAATCCAAAGATGAATAAAGCTGTATAAAGGGAAGGTTCTTAAATTGCATTTATTAAACCATAAGCCTGTTTCAACACACAAGGCTTCAAGGAGGGCAGATGCTTCATTCAGTCTTCATGAGGGTTTGTACCCCGAAGCTGTACTCGTGCCAGATGAACAGCATTGTAGATTTCTGACTGTAGGTGTGAGTAACTGAAGGAAGGGTAGAAACTGCAGATGAGCATTCAGCTGCTGCGAGTGACTGTTGACTACAAGCTGGGGAGTCAGTCGTGTTTGAGAGGTTCAGGGTTTGCGTGATGATGAGCTGGGACACGTACCGTAACATGCTCTGACTCAGGTGTACCTCCATCTCGAGAGTTACATAAGAACCAACATGAGCAGCGACAGGAAGACTTGCTCAGGTAAGCTGGTACTTAAGTTTGTTGGTAAAAGTGTTTTTCATCAGGTAAATTGGGACTTGGGTTACAGACCCATCTGTGATTCTTTTAACACTTACATCTTACTCCTGCGAGCAGCCATGTTGTAAAAGCAGCCATCAGAATACTACAAAACTGAGCCTTGTGACGTGTCAGACTGTTCCAAATATGGTTCGGAGGGAGGCAAGCTGCAACTGGAGCCTGGGCCTTGATGACTCTTTTCCAAATGACTGTGGAGTAGGGGTTGACCAACTCCCCTTCATCTGCTACATCAGTCCGAGCAATATGTTGGCTAAAGTTCCTGTCCCAGATAAACAGGCTAGGAATAGAAGAGAACAACTGGAGTGTTAACTATGCTGCATTAGTTTACCTTCATTAAAATTGTTAGGAAGGAGGCATGGAACATAAGGGTTTGAAGACTGAGGCAGCCATGCCTCTGAGCTATAGCACACTCACTTTTTCCTTAGATTGCACACACAAGAACTTCCAAGGTTCATGGTTGGATTTTATTTAAAAACACCAGAGAGCATGGTTATTTTCAAATACAAAGAATGAAGACATTTTAGAAAAAAGAGACAATTTGTTACACTATTTGCACAAGGTCCCCTTCGATGACTGAAGGAATCTCAGCAGGCATTGAAAGCAACTTGTCTTTCTGCTTGCTTAAGAGTTCTCTCCCTTCATCTTCAAGGCATGACTGGGCCAGTGCTCCTCAAGAACTTCCTGAGGCAGACACACAGGCCCTGTCTTCCTGGGTCTCTTTTCCTTGTGTCGTACTCAGTTCTCCTCTAAGAAGTCTTCTGCCAGAGAGTACAGCTAGACAAAACTCTGCCTTTCTGCTACCCAGCTGCATGCTCCCGCTAGAAAAGGTGTATATCCTGAAAGGGTGTTACTGGGGAGACAGGGGAAAGGTAGAGGAGGTGGCTGTTTCACTAATATAGCGTACCTGAAGAACACACGGAATGTGTCTGGACTTGTCTTTAACCAAGTGATAGTCAGTCCTCTGAACTTGTATTTATGGACAAGATTTTATTGTTTAGACTACAGAGAACAAAAGGTTCTCCTTTGCCAAAAGACAGAACTAAGCAATGTAACCACACAGAAGAACGTAAGACTCTGGTAGATGTCTTGTTTGGGCAGCCTGGGGAAGCAGGCAGAAGGAGGAGGAAAGCTGAAAGCATCATACATGATAAGAGCAGGCACTCACACACGGCAGGCCAAATAAGGCCTTTGGAAAACGTGCATGACTAACTTCATCTAGATTCCTTTCACACTGAATGCAGCAAAACAAAAAAAAGACTAGAAAAAACAGCTGTCATAGCAGTAGTCTGAGCACAACAACAACAACAAAATGTGCTAAATAGCTCAAAGCTGGAAAGAAAAAACATGTAAATCTTTAACAACAATAACAAAAATCAGAGCAGAGTAAAAGCTCCACAAATGGATGAAAACACCTAAAGGTGCCCTTCGGAAGCACAATTTAGCTGAGAGCCGGCTAAGGACAGCAGGTACCAAAGGCACCGCTCCAGAAGCTGATCAAGAAAGCTGTCCAGCCCCAGCACACCATAGCACAGCACAGCATACTGGGCAGAACATCAACAGAGACCTGAGACCTTGCTCTGAAATGACCTGGTTACATGGCTGCAGCCATGGGCCAACGGAACAAGGGGACGGGGGAGTGGTTTGTTGGTTTTTTTCAATGGAAGAGGCTAAAGAGGCTTTTGCTATGAGAGGAGGGGACTGGAAAGCAGGAAGAGTGGAAAAGAACCGCTTCCAAAAAATTTGTCTAAGTTCTATGAAGCCAGATAAGCCCCTATAGTACAAAAGCAGTACAATTTTAATTCTTACATTAGGATGTTAAAATCAAGTATCTTTCTGGTATTTTTTTTGAAATCATAGTATTAATAACAAGTGGTTTTAAAACAGGATAGCTGCTTTGTAACCAAGCTGCTTTATGTTATTTCTGAGGCCCTACAGATAGAAGAATGGCTACACGTAGTGGCAGCACAAGGACTAGACACACCATCGGGCAATATGAACTGGTTGAATTTGAGTCTCATTGGGTCTGAGAACAGAGGAGGCATATCCTGGCAGTAGATGCTGTTTCTAGATTAGCGTGCTATTAAAACAAAATTAAAAATCCATTCTCCCCTAACATGGGGACTGCCACATCACACTTCATTGTGCAGCCTCCACCTGCCCACAGCATTAATCTCCTTCAGAAAACTTCTCTCACAAGGAAAAACTGATGAACGTACATCCAAGTATAAAAAAGATCTTCTCTCACAATGCAGACAAGGCTCAATGTATTGTCTTATCACCATTGACGTATTTCAGCATTTGTTTCTCCCTAACTCTAGGAAGAGTTTCATTTCACTAGTAAATCTTCCTGAAGCAAAGCAGTTTTGATACATGTTTTGGAGCAGGATGCTTCACTACGCAGAGGATTTATTTTATTCCTTTTACACCTTCCAATTTTACTGTATAGTGGCAAGAGGATGGAGGGAGATGAGGAGCAAAAACTACTCTTAAAGTCCTCACGCTTCCAGAGCGATGTGATGCAACTCCAGGTGATTGTCCGGGTTGTGGTATTCGGCTGACCATTAATCTCATTAGCAGCTGATTTGCCCAGGTTATTCCAAGTGCTGGAGAGACTCTGCTATCCACTACACTATAAAGAAAAGCATTACAGATTTCTGCATGTATGAATTTAACACGAAATATCGTCACTTCTGCTGTACAAAAATTACACTGGAAGAAATGCTCTACTGTTTCTGTATTTACTGTATTTAAAACTAAGGTCTTTGAAAACAGGGATTACAGGCAATGCTCACCAAGCTGTACACCAGGTTCTCTCTACGGCAAGGTAACCACCGGAAGACAAGTTCTTGTATACAGAATAATTCAGCCATTCTTCCAGCTACAACCATGGTGAATACCTGCCTCTGTCGTGACAGGTCCCCTCTTGTGATTGACAGGAAAACAGCAATAGAAAAATGGTTGAACTTTAAGTATTTGAAGTGTATAACCGTTGGCCCTGGATTCCATTTGAAGGTATATTTAGAAATGTTGGGTAGATATAACCGTGTGTACGTATTACTTTCAACCTGAAGCTTAAAACAATTTTTTTCCTGGAAAAAGTGCAATTTTGCCAGTAAAATTAGTACAAGATAACCAGGGGGAAAAAAAAATAAAATTAAACCTTATCTTTGTTCTGTGTCTATCTCTGAATCTGGAGGCCACAACTAACTTCTCGCAAACACACATGTCTGTAGCAGCTAGCTTACCTAGTAAATTAAGATTATAGTTAATATCTTGGTGTCAAAAGATACTCTTTTTTTTTCCCCCCCTTAAGCAACTACCAAAACCAATCAATAAGGTTTGGTTGCTATATTTTTTAAGCAGAGAGAAAATGCACTCTGTTATATCAGAGACAAGAAGAGATGCAAAAATATTCTTGTGTAAGCAAGTACACCAGCCATTAACTCCAGAGAATCTTTCCGCCTAGCTTGCTGATTAGGGATTGCCACATAAGTGTATATCCCAGTTTCTTCCGCTTTACAGCCCATTAGTTATTGTTGATCTCCAGCAAATACAGCATTGCTGGGCAAATGCACTACCGCTTTTAACACACTCTGGTAGCTTAAATTGGAGTTATTAAAAAAAAAAAATACAGTGGTTGAACACTGCTGTGTATGACATCGTACATTTCGACCGCGGATGACTTACCTCCAACTGCACTGAGCCGCTTCTGACTCGCTCACCGCATCCGTCACCTAAAGCGGAAAAACAACATCTGGAGTTGACCTGTAGTTATGCATTTGTTTTTAGCGAACAGAAGGGCAGAGAAGGGAATGAAGCCAGGAAAATCCAGGTTATTGGATCACATGTTAAGTGATGTTAGAAAACCCTTATTCTTTCAAGGCAAACTAAAAGAGAGTTGTGAAGTATGATCTTCGTTTATTTAGCTAGCCTCAGCTTGTATGAATGTAACTCTATGAGATGCTTAATTTGTTAAAAAGAAAAAAGAAAAAAGCCAACAAAACACCATTCACACACAAAACTGTTCTGATGCTGTGTCTGTAGATAAAAGATACTGAAGCCCAAATCTCAAAAAGGTGTCTTGTTCTCAAGGATTTCACTCCCTTTGAACAACACATGCTTAATGGGGCAGTTTGCCTTTGACTACAAACCGGAAAAAACGTACACCTCCTCGCTCCCTCTGTTGTCTTTTATGGTTCTTCCACACAAGTTCTTCACAAAGTACCGTAAATTAAGTGATACAGGTACTGCTCTAAATATAAGTGTTCAGACCGGATTACTTTACAGCCATAGTCTTCCTCCACATTATTATATTCACAATTTCTGTAACTACATATCTGATGTAATGAGTCACCTTCCATTACAATACAGTCCCGAAGGACCCTTCGTTAGCAAATGACCAGACTGTTGTCACTCAGCAGTGACTTCATCTGTTGTGAGCCAGCACTAACATCAAAGTCCCATCACGGGAAGGCAGATCTAAGTAGTTCTCTTCAATCACTCTTTTCCCTCTCATGCTGAACCATTCCAAGGTAGAGACTGGATACATCTAGGCTTGTCTTACCCTTAAATCAGATCTTTTCCCTGCTGGATGGGCCCTCAATACCCTCAGGAAAAAAGCAGACAGCCTTTTCCAAATGCTCAGAGTATCTCAGAAACCAGCCAAGGAACTTGACTCCACTGCTCGGCTTCATAGTGTAAATGACAAAATACACAAACTTTTGCTGAACAAAGAGCAAAATCCAAACCATGCTTCCTGAAAAAATGGTCTCTACTAATACCAAAATTCAGAAAGTGGTTACAGGAAATCTGAGTTTTCCTTAAAAGCTAGCTGACCATATGACAGACTAGGTAAGAAAAAGTTGGTTAAAAAATAAGAAGTAACTTGAGGCTGACATTTAAATCCTACTGAATCTTAACCTTACTGGAAATAAAAACACTGTGCATGCCTGAAAGCTGTTCAAATTACTGCTACGTATGAATTCCAATACAATCCCTTCCAGTTATGGTAGTCAATGCAAGGTTTTACACACTGCCCATTCTGCACCTCCAGAACTCCTCCTAGGGAACAGAAGCAAATCAAACAAATAACAGTTGACTTGAAGTGTGTAGCATCTCTTTCTTCCTAACATAAAACTCTTCTTTTCTTAAGTTCAAGTTTTCTCCCTACCTCTTTTCTTCTGCTGTGAGAAGGAAACTCCAGGGTTCAGTACTTACTCATTTGATGGGAGGGCCTTCCAGGAAGGAAGTTTCCAACAGCAGCCTGCCTGCACATTTACCTGCCCCTTTCTCAGGCCGCATTCCAAGTGTGAATGCTTCCTCTACAGCATTCATACACTTCTTCGATTTGTGATTAGACTAAGAGCGACAGCATGTGTTTCTATAGGATGGAAGTAGTGTCTTGGCTAGTTTTCTCAAAACAATCTTGTTTTTGACTGGTATCGTTTTGGCCTTTTTTTGGTTCAGCTCCAGTCAGCTTGCATGCATTCTAATGCTTTAGTCATCTCAGCAGTTACACGAAAATGCTGAGCTACATAAAAATGCAGCAAAGTCCCTGGTGTTTCACAGTCTCCTGTGTATGTGGAATAAAACTGTGCATGCAGAGTTCCCGGAGCAATCCTGCTGGTGATGGCATTTGAAGCTGGTGTTAAGAGAGAACTCTGTTATTTCGCTTTGATGCTTTGTGCAGTTGCTATACATATCTATTTTCCTTAGGCACTGGAACAGGTTGCCCAGAGAAGTTGTGGATGCCCCCCCTCTGGAAGTGTTCGAGCCCAGGCTGGATGAGGCTTTGAGCAACCTGATCTAGCGGAAGGCATCCCCATGGCAGTGGGGTTCAAACTTAAAAAAGATGATCTTTAAGGTCCTTTCCAACACAAACTATTCTATGACAACCTTCGGGAACATTAACAGTCTACAAAAGCTTAAATCTGAGAAGTTAAAATTTACTAGTTTAAAGTGCACTAGTTTAAGGAAACTGATGTTTCCATCAGTCATTAATACTCAGTTGCCAGTGTTAAATACAACACCAAGAAACCTGCCTAGGCAGATTTCCCCTCCACCCCAGCTGTTTATTAAATGGTCCCTATAAAACGAGAAGCAATTTTGACGTCATACCTGATTAACGCACATTATTGGGGTCCTGAATCTAGTGCTCAAACTGTGAAGCTGTGCCCCAAACGTCTGCAAATACCGAGCCTTCGTAACAGAATCGGAAACTCCAAACTCGCACCGGAACAAGGCAGCCATAGAGTCTACGACCACCAAGCGCACCATGCCTCTGGTGAGCAGGAGGGAAATCCTTCGGGTAATGCAGTTGTGAAAGGCATCCTACCACAAAGTACAAACAGCCAGCATTAAACCAGTTCACATCACTCTGTAAAGTCAAGACAGTAACTAGAGATGATTTCATCACTGACACACAAGCTGATGGAGTTTCTAATCACAAAGTGAGTTTGTGGATCTTTAAGTCTCACCATTTTTCGCAAATGTCTTGTGGCTTTACCTTAAGAAAAAAATAAGGAGACCAAAGTGCAACATACCGTTATCTGCAGCTCTGACTTAAACCAATGATGTACCAACATTTCAAAATCTGAAGAGTGCAGTAGTACAATCCTAAACCATTCCTACTTTTCAGGAGTGGTTCTCACTGAGACACCGAGGACTCGAAACCGGCATTAAGTATTCAAAACAGAAGTTAGAGACTATCTGCTCTTCCACTAACGACTTATTAATGGTAAAATACATACTGCCACATCAAATCCATATTGATCAAGAGTCTTATAAACATGAGTAGCTGTGACTTATATCCTCTCTATTCAAAGTTTTACTAATTGAATATTTTGAAGTCACCAAACATTTCAATTGCAGGAAGTTTAACTAAAAAATATTTTGTATGGTGCAACTTCTATCTCATAAGAATAATCATATTAGTCAGATGAAAGGTCCTTGTAGCCCAGTATCTTGTGTTTCATAGTGTGGTCTACAGCAGCTGAGTAGGAAGGAGAACAAGCTCACAGGGATAATCTCAGCTTCTGGCCATCAGAAATTTCAATGTTGGCAAAAAAAGCAATGATGTGAGTCGCGGTTCCTCTGACTGGTGCCATTCTTTACATCTAAATAGAGGTTCACAGCCAAGAGCTTACATGCATCCAAAATTACAGATAATATCCTCTGGCATTCCACAGCTTTTAAAACTAAATTATAATTCTCAAGTCTGAATTGCACTAAGATCTATTCTACTAAACGAGCTGCTTTGTACAAAATAAATAATACAATATTAAAGGCGCTTTTTTTTTTTTTGTTCAACTGAGAGAAAAAAGTTACTCTGAAGAATATACAACTGCTTTCCATTCTGGAAAATTGATTTTTTTTTTTTGTTCTACTTTCTGGTATATCTACAGGAAACTATGGTGGACTTCAAACACTTCAGTGTTTGTATGTGGTCCTTCTGTTCATACAAGACTCATTCTTTTTGAGTGAATACATGAACAATGGGATTCTTCAGAATGAAGCAAGTCAAGAAAATTTTGATGTGAAAGAAAATACAGAATGTAACTGTGATTTGAGTTTCTGCTTCAGTTGCTATACTCTGCCTGTCTCTCTATAGCAATGCATTCTGTGCACATGGGTACACACACACACACAAACTGAACCTATACATAGCAATATATGAATTGTAATAATCTATTGTGCAGTTCCTGGACTTACCTGTGAGTGTAGTGTTTTACTTTTAAGGGTATTTTACAGAGATGTACACACCACTATAAGGTGATTCTCTCCTTTTTACAATAACATACTCTAGCTTCCAGAAACTACAGCTGGAACTTTAATTAATATTTCCAGTGAAAGGGACATGCTAAAGATAATAGGTGCTGTCTGGACGACACAGTGAATAAGTGTCAAGCATACTAATGCACAATGTCTTACACTTGCAAACTACAACTGAAAAGCTCCAACAACCGGAATGATTTAACACGTGCTACTTTCAAGCGTTAGAGAAAACAGAACTTAGGACTTTCTATCAATAAAGAGCATATTCACGGCTACTTAAGACACAGCACAAAAATGTGAGTTCACCAGGCAAGAATGCAGTACTGAAGTTTGTATCTTTTTCCCTCCAACTCCACTATGACATCTTACAGGCAGAGGGACAAGAGAGCTGCACTGCTGTGGTTATGCTGGACCATTACTTATTCCAGGCATCACTTTCTGTATCCTTTCCTCCCACTTGCTTAATTTGCAGTTTAACAACTCTGGTGTTATAGTGCAAGTTACTCATAGATGCAAAAGGTGGTGTGTATCCTATTTATATCCTGTCTCCAAACTCAATGACAATCTCCCTAGAAGCTGCAGTAAAACTAGTAGCAATAAGCCTACTACATTTTAATAAACAGAACGACTTACGAAAATCCACTACATGATTCATTCTAAAAAAATATTAATATTTATCTTTCAAGATCTTTCATAATAATACACTGTAATAGACAGTTCTCTAACAGCAAGCTGCAGAGATTATTATTAATAAGTATTCATTACAGATCTCAGTTCAATTTTAGCTTTTTGAAAGGTCCTCTACATCAAAAAACCCTTTTGGCTACTGGATTACAGTGTAATAATTAATCATTCTTAACTTGTGCTACTACTTACTAGGTCTGCTGCATGCTCAACAAAAATACTGTTTCCAAATTTGATCTTCTGTATGATTTCAGCTGGAACGTCTGCACGCAGCTTATGCTGTTGATCTATGAGTTGTTGCAAACGTTTACTTGGGAATACATCTTCTGTACAAATGTAGACAGCTCCTGTAATCAAGGAAACCACCTCTGTTATTACAACAAGGCTCCTTCTTACACATGCAGTTGTCTTAACAGCACAAAACCAAAATAGTGCACTCTGCAGTCAAAAGCTAGACACATGTACCTGGAAATTCCTGTTACTTTTTTTTGCAGCCATGTTGAGTCAACGATGAACAACAGAAAAACCACTGCTATGACTACCCCATGGTTGCCAGGTGCTTTTTTTGGTGCCTGCTGACACAACTGGATTTTTGTACTGTCCACTAGGTGACACTCATTTGCAGAGCTGAGGAATGCCTGGCTGCCTCACTTGGGTCATTCCAAGTGTCACAATTTATCCAACCCACAAACAGAGCGATACTGTGTGTTTGTTTGCCAGTTTTGGTAAACAGAAACCAAAAACCACAGCACCGTACAATGAACAAAATTAACTATCCTACTCAAAACTGGTACAGCTAGCATTTTGATTAATTTCACTCATTGTTTTCAAGTTTCTTGGTTTTAAATTTACATATGGAGGAGTACTTATTGCCACAATTTGTAAAACAGTTTAAAGAAGATCACTCATCCAATCTCAGTCCAATTAAGTCTTCCTGAAAACGGTAGATTAGATAAAAAGCATTATACTTCAATCACATTACTATGAGTGATGTCTATATATTTTTACTGTAGTTTCTGGTTAACAAGTATGCAGCATGGCAGAGAAAATTAAGCAAACATGAAAGATGTTGGGGGAAGAAAACAGAAACGCATACAGTATTTTCTTTATAAAAAAATTGTTACTGTTATCGCAGAACTAGCCAGAATTATCAGCTAATACTTACAGGGTTACACCTAAGCACTAAGTCCACTCGCTAAAGTGGCTGCAGCTGCTAACACAGCTCGGCAGCTGATGTGCTTGGCAATATGAGACATCCTGAACGTTTCCTCCCCAATGGTCCATCCCTATGCTGTCTCTCCAGAGACTGGAAAGTCCCATTTCCAGATGCAACTTCCAAATCCTCTATGTATTCCATTGAAAAAAATATGAAACTATATCCAATAGCAGAAACTGAAAGATCTCAGGATTGGATCAAGTAAAAATTAATGGTTACTTTATCAATAAAAATATTTTGCGGACGGACACCCATATAATACAAGATACTGAATTCTGAGAATCTTCTATAGAAAACAAAGATGATCCTAAGCTTCATTTTCTTTAGGACTAAACTTGCTTCTTCAACTTAACTTTTCCCAACCCCATCATAATTTATTACATAAATCACCCTACTTCACATGTGAAACATTTGAAAAAAAAAAGTATTATTTTTCCAATACACAGTCTTATTTTTAAACACTCAGAAAGCTATCAGGTAAAGCAAAAAAATTTACCCATGCCCACTAATTAGAAAAATTGTCTTTGACAGGTGAGAATTAAAGACCTTCCTCAATTATTAACATATGGAAAAATACTCCATCATCGTCCACACCTTCCATAGGAGGTGCTGAAATGTTTCCACGATTTCCATTTCCATTCTACCTAATAACAGGTTCAAATTATACTTTGGCTCCTTTTCACTCTCCTTGGCCCTGGCAGCCAAGAACATTTGTCATTAAAACATTCAGTCTCCATTCTTAATTCCACAATTTCATGACGTATATGCTTACGTCAGAGGGAACTGAGGGTTGTTAGCAGTTTACAACATTTGACATTGAATAAGGACCACAGTAAAGCATTAGCCCAGTCACGATCACGAGTCCTCAGCTACAACATACAAAATCTAAGAAGCTAAACCATGAATATTTTCTGCACTTTTCTCACTTTTTATTCTAGCATTTGAGTGGATGGAATTCTGAATTTAAAACTATGGGCACAAATGCTGTCTTCAGTAATTACAAGACTGAAGTCACACGCAATGCCTGTAGACACAAACGAGCACATGTACAAATTTCTGTCAGCTAAGGAGCAAAACAGAAACGAGAAAATGAGTCCACAGTTGGCCGAATTCATTAAGTTCACAGTGACATCAGCAGCTTGTTGAAATCTATCTGAACTCGTATGAAGCTCAGCCAAGAAAAACACAGTAAACTATTAATTGTATCACTTAACTGCTTAAGGTTTTTAAAACAGCTAATTATCAAGCAGTTAATTAGGTGAACCTTAACTTTCTTGACTGTTTCCCTAGGTCAATTTCTCCTAATTGGACTAATTTTTGTATCACTCTCCAACTTTACAGTAACAGCTGAGTATCAAACAGGCAGGTAAGTATCTTTACTACCGGCAGTTCATGCATTCCTAATCAGATTTTCAAGTTTTCTAAAGAGCCAGTAAGTTGAGACAAATTTCTAATCACAAATTTGACATTATGTATATCTAGCACCAACACTCACTCAGATAAGCCAATTATGTCTTGCAACACCTGCATCATAAAACTGAAAATCATTATGGTGCAAATTCAAAACCAAGTAAACAAACAAAGAAATAAAGAAAATTTACCATGATGTGCAGCTTCCTTAAGCCCTTGCGGTTTCTGAATTTCACACTAACAAAAGCTGTGCTGACTCGTGTTAGCATAGTGACTTAACAGTTCCTCAAGAAAAACGTTCTGGACTTCTCAACTACCATTCCTGTTCACAGTTGATTGCCTTTTGCACAACACTGCCTAACTCTGAAAGACAGGGATTTCTTCACTATGGATACTGGCTTACCTAGAAATCAACTGCTTTCTAAAAATCAGACCTGCCTCAGCAGTATGTTCCTTGTCCTCCCCTCAGCTTAATTAAAAAGGATGGAATCCCTGTTACTTGAGATTTCATGGCTGTTGTTTTTTCAAATGCAGATTTGCATTTCCAGATAGATCAGTGCTCCATTGATTAGATAATAGTATTTTGATCCAGAGTTATTGCAAAATTCAAGACATTTCAAAACAGAAAACCTGAGAAATTTGCTGAAAAAAGTACATTTTTTCCAAAATTAACTTAACTGGAGAAAAAAAAACATAAAATTCTCCTAAAGATCATCTTTTCAGATAATTTCAGTACAGTAATAAGAACAGTGGCAGGAACAAGCACAAGGAAAAAGCAGAAGAGTATAAAATGATCAAGTAACCTTACTGTATTACAAACATATCTGCAATTGTGGCCTGGTTTCACGTTTCTACCTGATGAACAAGTAAATCGAGGCAAACAAGGAAATCCTACAGCTGTAATACCTACAGGGGAAACACAACAGCTAGAGAAGCAAAAATCTGGTCCTCCCTCTGCTCCACTGGTCCAGCAACCTAGATTTAAAATTCCTCATCAACTGATGCACACTATCCTCTTCGCAAAATCACGACAGCAGTTTTAAAGTTCAAGTGAACATGTTTATTCAGGTTAATTTTTTTTGTGAAACACTTGTAGAAAAACGAGCAAGAAGATTAATTCCTTAAGAACAGTTCTACTTCATAGATTATTTCCTGCCTCAGTTTAGTTTTGTAAATACCAGCATTCAGTCACCTGCCACTCTTCTACTCTGCTGTAATGCTTCTTTGATGTAAGTTAAATCTTCTACAGCAGATGCTACACTCTGAAAACATAATTAGTCTATATGTGATTTCTCCAAAACATA